TCTTGCATACCATTTTATTGTCCCATTATTTGTCTCGAAATGGAAAGGACTCCAATTCGAACATTTAATTTTTTTGTGTATATAAATTACTTACTTCATTTCAATTTTCATTATAATTATAGTGTTCGTTTCGGATGTTATTATGGCTACCATTTTTTTTCTGCTCATCAAAACACATATAATATATTTTTTTCGTAGATACATTTCAAATAATCACAAAAGGTTTTTTATTCGAAGTTCATTGTAGAAAACGCTCAGAGTAATGGAAAAAATATGTATAGGTACCTAAAAATGAAAAAAAAAACTCTTGAAAAACTATATGGTACATAGGGAGACGTGAAAAGTTACTATTGTGTTTTTATTCAACTCAGTCAACCAATTTCCAGGGCCGTAATTTAAAAGGGAATAATTCACACAATTATAATCGAATATTACCGAAAAATTCCGAAATATAAAATTCAATTCAATTTCTCAGTATGAAGTGAACGTCTACGATCCAAAAACTACAACAAAAATACAGGTCCGTATTTAAAAATTCAAAGATGGGGGTGGCCCAAGTCAGATGACACCCTGATAAAAGATACATGGATATATTCTGAGAGGCCACATCAATTGCCAATAGCAAAATGTGGACAGATTTTCAATATGTCTGCGAATAAAGAAAATATAGGCAAAAAAAAGGGATTTTTTGGTTTTTCCTGCATATCTCCAGAACCAAAAGAGCTATATTTCATTTCTTCACATCATTGAATAGGTCTCTAAAATACGCAACTTTGCCATGATTTAACCGACACTCTATCTCTTATCGTTTACGAGATCTCCATGTACAGAAACGAATTTGAATAGCCTTGTATATAAAACTGTGTTATAGTATTAACCTTGAACTAATTCAAATCCTAATAATCATCAAAATCAGTAGCTATCAGAAGCTATTGCTTCTATTATATTGAAATAATGCAAGTTTCAACAATCTGAATCAAATTGTCTGGAGCAATGAAATGAAATGAATATTCAAATTATCAATTTAACAACAATTCTTTTCCAGGTGTCAGAACTTCTGGTAAAACTTCCTAATGGACTGATTCAAGGATACACAAGGAAATCTCCAAATAACGTTGCCTTCAATGCTTTCCAAGGCATCCCATATGCCAAACCACCTCTAGGAAAACTAAGGTTTCAGGTAAGATAACTGTAAGAAATGCTGCAGTAGGTAGTAGTAGGTACTGTACAATGTTTGTATGATTTGTGTGATTGATGCAGTTGGATTATGTTTATAACTATTTGAAATTATTTCGTATCTTAAGAGATACGTTCTTTCATAAGTCTCCAATCATAGAAATAATAAATACAATCGAGAAATCCAATGAAAACTCTTTTCAGATACGACAAAAGTTATGTTGGGTAAACTAAGCAGACTATAATAACTAGTTTCAAAGATGACTTTTCACATATTTGTTTTTGTAGACCAGATAAGTCTAGTGTCACTCATATGCCTTCGAAAAAGGCCTCAGAATAAATAATCGATGCCTGAAATTGTGTGGACCGGTACATGCTTTTTGACACCTTCGGAAGTATGGAAATAATATCCATGAACAGCGACAGAGTTCCCCCTCCGAACATCCTATTAACAATCTGGGATTGTTAAAACATTTATACATAAAAAAATTAGGGCCTTGTATGGCTCTAATTACTGAAGCGAAAAGCCGTCCAGATGAAAAAAAATCCTGTTATTTATATGTAAGAAATTAATTTCATAACGATTGGTTAACAAAACGCAAGTCAAGAGAAAGTGATTTTTTTAAGGACAAAACACAAGCACTACAAGAAAACCTTAAGATGATCTCAGAGGGCCTGAGCAAAAGTAGCGATTTACATAGGATTTGAATCGCTGGAGATTAAATCCATTTGGAAAAACATTTTTAGAAAGTTTACTCCACATAAACGCTGTTCTTCAGATAGAAGAGTTCTTAAACAGTGAAGTTCGAGGCACACTGAGTTGAATCTCAAAATTAAGAGCAGCCACAGTCTGCCGTGTATTTCTGATATGTGCCGCTCTTGGAGAAATCAAATGTGCCATGTCACTTGAACACTTCACGTGAAAGTATCTATGNTGTTTTCAATAGATGGGGATAGAACGCCATTTAGCTTTCTTCATTCTTGTGCTTATCAAATCATTTTATGTAAAGTCAGTTGCTTTGAATTAGAGTACATAAATGGGTAAATTATGAAAGACAAGTTATTCTTAAACCAATTCATAATGTGCTAAAAATATTTAATACGCAAAGACTTGTTTTCTATTCCATTCAAATTCTATTATTCGATTATTCCATCGTGTTTTGTTCCAGAAAAACTACTCAACCTAAAACCAACTTTGTAACTCCGCGTCCATGGAATATGTATCCTAATAGATTTATTTTTTCAAGCCTCCTGTTCCAGCAGACAATTGGGAAGGGATTCTTCAAACTAAGAAGGATGGAAGTAGATGTTATTCGGTGAAAAAAGATACAAAAGATGAAAATGAAGACTGTTTGTTCATAAATGTGTATACGCCTGTTTTGAAAATAGTAAGTGATCGATTATTTTATGTACCAAATTGAAATCCGTTATTTATTTTTATTGTTATGAGAATTTTTCAAAGAAGTGAAAACGATCTCACTGATTTATATAAATTATCACTCAGTGGTGCATAAAGAATCTCGTATCGGGGAAGTGTTGACTCTTATTTCTTCTGGACGCATATACTCGAGTCACTATCACCACTAACTTATCCAGACAGCTTGTGTTGTTTTGCGGAAAGTTTGGCAAGAGTTTTGAAAATTGGTTCTGAATAGTATTTTGAGCTGCTGAACACGAATCTGAGGTTTGCCAACAAAAAATTTTTAACCTTAAATATGTTTTTTTTTGCAAAAATTGTGAACAAATTCGACTTAGTTTTGTTTTTTGCGAATAACTCGAAAACTACGCAATTGTTGTAGAAAGGTCACCTATAGATACAAAAAGATAGAAAATAAAATTTCATATATTTTTTGTTGATAAAGTTTTTTTCTATGGTCAACCGATAAGCCACAGGAAAACGATAAAAGTGGGAAAAAACCCCAAAATTCCTAAAATCGGGATTTTGGCGATTTGACGCGGGAAACGTCTTTGCTATCCTCAAAGTTATTAGGACCAAATATTAGTATATATATTTATATAATCGACAAAGGTTAATGCAGGCAAGCTGCTGGAAAATAATTCCATGAAAATCAAAAGATAAATAGATAAGTACTTTTCTGATCATTCCCCTTTTTTATTGCCCA